TTAAACATGAGATTCATTAGGCTGTTTCTAAGTGCTCAGTCTGCTGGCAACTTCACTCTCGTTCCCTTCCATCTGCGCTGCAGCCAGTTTGTGTAGTTTGAATTGAGAGGGCCGTGAAGTGACTAATACTAGAGAAATCAAAAAGACAGTTTGCAAAGACACAAAGGGAACTTACTGAAAAACACAACTGTCCGGTTAGGACGGAAAACTGTCAAGAATATAAACAGCTGTGGGGGAGATCAAGAAAGAGATAAATCCTTGAGTAATCATTTTTAAAGTTTTTTTTCTTTACAGTTAACACTCTTCTCCATGCAAAATAATACTGATGCTCTCATATAAATCATAGTAACAAACGTATGGGCCAATGTATGACTCATCTAACTCTGCAGGGAAATAAAGGCCTTGGTGTAGAGGGAAATGGACTCAGGAACATGGATGCCAGAATGGAACTACAAAATGATGCATGATGTGGAGAAAGGGGATAGGGAGGCTTTTGCTTCCCTCTCTCAGAACCCAGGGCATCCCATGACACTGATTGGTAAAAGATTCAGGACAGATAAAAGGAAAATCTTATTCACAAGGTAGATAGTTAAGTTATAGGTTTCAGGCCCATGAGATGCAGTGATGGCCACCAATTTGGATGACTTTAAAAGGAAATTGGACAGCTTCCTGGAGGAGATGTCTACCAGTGGTTGTTAGTCCTGATGGCTATATGCTACCTCCTGAATGAGAGGCAGGATGCTGAAACACACCAATTGCAGAGTGGAATAGGCAGGAGGCTGCTGTTGCACTTATGTCCTGCCTGTGCATTTTCCCATGGTTGCACAGAAGGCTGGAACCCTCAATCTGATCCAGTGTGACCTTTGACACATTCCTAGGAGAGTCCTTTCTGCTAATGGATCCTTCCTTCCTTCCTTCCTTCCTTCCTTCCTTCCTTCCTTCCTTCCTTCCTTCCTAAGAAGATCCTGGGATTCAGTGGAGTGTCTCACTAGAAGAAGGAGAAAGAAAACTATTTTCACTCACCTCAATTCTCACAGGGGCCTAAACTCTCCAGAGCAGCTTTTCAGGCTACAGGAGTCAATACAAGGAGGAGGAATCATCAGGAAAACAATCTCAAATTAGTTTTGTAATTAGAGGATATAGAGTTTGGCACAGCTCTTGTTTCTCCTCCTCATAGTACTGAGGCTTGACCACCAAACCAAACAACCCTTCCATGGCATACACGCAATGTTGATGTTCCATACTTATAATTGCATTGGCTGTTTTGTGTGGTATGTTACAGATGGCCGTGTGGCCCATCTGAATACGGGTAAAACACCTGCAACAAAATATTGTTGATGAAATCATGTGGATAATCGCACCAAAACTGCTTGTTTTCCCCTTTAATTGATGTGCACTTCTACATTAGCGATGTAGTGGGGGAGGTACATGAAGAAGAAAAAGGAAATGCAAGCTACACCACACCACACCGCTCATGCTCTGTGCTCTATAAAATCTTACAAATAAAAGAAGAACAGTGGGGAGTTTCCAGGACATCAGTTCCATTTTGGAGTAAAGGGGAAACTAAACATGATATCAAATGTGCTATTACTTTTAACATGATTAAAAAATGGAAATAGCCTCCAGGGGGAAGGGAAGCAGAAAGAGGACATACATACAGGCTACCTACACACACTTCTTTTAGAACTGATATATCCCACACAGGGAAATCATTTCCCCAAGAAAACAAGCAAATTTGGCTCCCAGTGGATGCTATTATGACTTATAAAACCACAATCCTTACCAATTTCCCACATCATGTCCAGTTTAGCCCCAAGACCAACAAAAGTGGGCTCCATATATTCAGCATCTGAAGCTCTGACTGTTCAGCATTTTCCTCCAATTGATTTCAAAGGGGCAGCTTTTTCTTTTCTTTTCTTTTCTTTTCTTTTCTTTTCTTTTCTTTTCTTTTGCTGACATCGGCTTCTGTGAGCCTGGCAAGCGTGATGTACTGATGATGTGTCACAGTTTAAAATAAGCCTGTAGATAAGTTCTGGAGTCATTTTTCTATCAGCACTATGCCAGAGAAGTTTATTTTCTTCAGGGGGAGGGGGATCAGGGGTAAGATCATTTCCCAAAATAAGCCATCAGAACCAAATCCAGTAAATCTAGAAGTTTTTAATCTCAATTAAATTTGTTGATATTCAAGCAACAACAACAAAATGTATAAGGACCAGCAGAATACTTTCAAATATATTGCTTCCAATCTTAGCTTGCTTATTGCTTTAGAAAACAGTATCTAATTGGTACTGGATTTAAATTGTGTCTTATAAAGTGTGGCTGTTTTTATATCCAGGCTTTCTCTGTTTTGACTTTCTCCAAGATACTTTATCTTTGACCTGAATCTGGTTTCTTCCCTATGCTACATTTCTTACTAAAATTTGATTGGTTACATACTTTGTAACACAGATTCCTAATTTCTGCTTGCTCCAATAAAATTCTAACTTTTCAAAGAATAAGTGCGTCAAATGCAAACCTATACATGTCTACTGAGAAGGAACTATTTGTTTCTAGGTAAATCGATATATGATGACAATTCCATATTCCTTGAGTGCAAACTACCTCTGCAGGGCCAGGTGGGAGATACCCTGGAGAACACAAGGGAAGCACAGTACGACTTCTACCATTGGGCAGGGGACATGGGGTCACTGAAAGGTTGCCCCTCTTCCCCCAGAAGAACATCATTGCAAAAGACTGGGGAAGCTTGGTCATTGCCAAGAGAAGGTGCAGTTGTAAGGATCCTGCTTCTCCCTTTCTGCAGGGAAGAAAATTCAGAGCCAAATGAGAATTGCCCTTAGAGAAGCAAACCGGAAGAACACTCCACTGACCAATGGAACAAGAGACACCAATTGCTATTTAAGCAAGAACACAAGCAACAAAAAGATCAGCCTCAATTGAGCTAGTTATAAATGCCTCTTTACAACTTTCTTCTTTCCTTGGACAACTGAGTCCCAGCTCTATCATTTCTTTCTACCCCTTTTCCTTTTTACTTTGGAATTATGAGAGCTTCTAAAGGTCTTCTCTCTCTTTCTCTTTTCCCCTCTTTATTTATGTGGGCCAATAACTGTCTGAAAATCAGGATAAAATTTCAATGCATAGTAATGTTTATGATAACTGGATTTAATGATAACTCTAATTCATTTTTAGCAGAACTCTCCAGTTCATTATTCTTCTTGTCAGTCTCTTAAAATTTTCACTTTGCCTCTTGGTTGTAGAAAAAACTCCCTTTTTCATCAGCATGAGGAGCAGATACTTAATTATTCCAATAAATTCTCAGACTGAGCTGGAAGAGGTGGTCTTGAGTATGGTGTCAGAAGAACCCAGGGTGGTAGTGAGGCTGCCTTTGGATTTCTGGCCTGGGATTTCTTGGCCTCCATGGCACTGTCTGAGTTTGCCATTGGCCGTACATATGAAGCAGGGTTATGGTTAGGTTGCGCCAAGCCATGAGATTAATGGTGTGGAAATTGAGGGGGTGAGTGTAAGTAACCTCATTGTTTTGGTCATATTATTAACTGGCGAGGTTTGAACTCATGGCATTACTTCCCTCTTACAGAAGTGGAGGAGCCATTTTGATTGCCCACTCCAGGAGGCTGATGGAATCCAATGGATTTCTGAATGCTTTTAATTAAGATTTTGTATATTATCTGGATTGAAAAAAAAAGTTCATAACCAGAACTCCTATGCAATTTCATACATTCCCAAGACAGAAATCTGGCACTGAGGCAAGCTCATGGATAACATGGCTGTGCATCTATGTTATTGTTATTGTTATTATTATTCATTTGATTTAGATGGGTTGATTTCAGATGGGTTGATTTCAGTTACCTGTATGGTTGGTTGGCTGATTTGTTTGTTTTAATGATAACACTTTAACTTTTAAGATTCATTAGCCATTTTGCAAGCCTAATGGTGGAAAATAAGGACAAATATTAACTATTGATCTGATTAAATATAAGACAATATCTCTTCTTTCTGGTATCTTTGTTCCACCCCCACCCTCAACACTCTCTCTCACTCTCTCTCTCTCTCTCTCTCTCTCTCTCTCTCTCTCTCTCTCTCACACACACACACACACACACACACACACACACACACACTACAGTCTAACCTTTCTGCAGAGCTTGAATGCATTACATGCCAGTATAAAATGTGGACTGCACTAGAGACTAATGTACACATTCAGTAGGAAAAACTTTTCTGGAATGAGTTTCTTCAGGAAAAAGAAGAGATGGGCAGGTTGCATGTCTGAGTGTTTCTAATTTCTCTTGCTCACATACCCCTAATCCTCTCCTTAAATTGACAGCTTGGAATATTGGAAAGTCAGGCTCAACCTACTTCTTTCCCAGATGTACTGCTTTTCCTTTTTGGAGTGGGTCACTCATGTGCTCATTGTGTGTTTCATGTGGGCAGGTGGTTAGCCATTACAAACAGCATGCTAGATTAGATAGACTAGGCCTTATCCAGTGTGGTTCTTGTTATGTTCTTATGAGACGGTGCAACAAAACAAAGACCCAGGACAACTGGAGATCTGGACAATTCTGGTCTCTCCACATTACACTGAGATATTTTCTCACTGGTTAGGGGATCTGGTTTCAAGTCTTCTCCAAACTAGAGCATGAATAGCAGAAAGGAGTCTGGCTTTATGTGTGCATGTTATTCTCTGCAACTCTGCTCTGTGTTCTCTTTTTATTGAAAGTGCATTGCTCATATTTTTCCAGCAGAATAATTATTAATGCCTAGTGCAGAAGCCAAATTGTCCTACGTATGCCACTGGGACACATAAATCTAATTAATTAATTACTAATGTCAGAACTGAATAATTACTGAGTCAAAGTTTATCCAAGATTTCAGAAATCTCCCAGATCTGTAATCACCCCAGAAGCCCAAGCGAGTATGAATCTTTGCAATGGTATTTGATAACATGCATATTCTCCCACCCCTGTTCCCTTTCTCTCTTTTAGGCTCCATCTAAAGGGCCATTCAGGAACAGCAGGAAAACAGAGCAGCCTGATACTGCATGGGGCTGATTTTAGTACCAAAGATGCTGACAATGACAACTGTATGTGCAAATGTGCCCTTATGCTAACAGGAGGTAAGCTTCATGTGCTCATAATTATGGGTGCTGCTGCTTAAAGAAAGAGAATTTAAAAAGCTACCTTGTATTGGCTGCTAATTTTAATGTTTTCAGCTCAATCCTAGCAACACATTTGCCAGGATCTCATATGAAAGTTCTTCTTGGTTCCCGCTACTGAAATTCCTTTAATTCAAGAGTTCATTAAAATTTTACCAAAAGTGAAAATCGGTGTGAACTGAGACTTCCTCTTTGGAGGACCATCTCAGGGATTTACGGAAGATTTATTAAAAACTGGACAACCCAGTGTGTCCAAAAGCTTTTCTTCTGTTATGAATTACATGGTCTCTGTCTTCTCAGAAATTGCACTGGATATAATTAAAGACATTCTTAGGAATGGTATAGGGATAAACTAAGTAAAACAATACTGCACACACTTGGGATTTCTTAAAATGTTTGCAAAAAGCAGAATAGTTTTTATTGAGAACACAGGACAGAGAGATTAAGATTAACCCTTTCCCTTGTGTAAATTTTCTCTAATGAGGCCAATACTTGAGACATATTTCCCATTGAAGAAAATTGGAAGAAGGAAAAAGGTTACTCTTTTGCTCTGATGCCATGGTCCCAGTCCAAACAAATCCACATGCATACATGGACACAGACAGTTTCTTTTCACAAAAGCTTAATAAAATGGGGGATTTGTCATGGATCACTGCTGCCATGTATATGTCCTTGATATATTGCTTATATTGCCAAAAAGAGGCATTGCTGTTAAGGATGGTTAGTGTTCAGTGGTGATCTAGTGAGGCCATTAAGAACCAAGAGACTCACCAACCTGGTTGAGCCTAATGATTTGAATTACTTTCAATGGGAAATGTTTCTAAGTTGCAAAAAACTAGTGGACTTATAAGGAGATGCTTATGAGTGTTTGTTGTGTTTTGTTTTGGCCAGCTGTGTGACTAACAATGTTTGAAGCCTTGTTTCAGTGAAAGTATATGTCTTAAAATATCTAAATTAGATGCTATGGTATTTATATTTCATGGATTCGCCATGTACAACCAGCTTCCTTGAGGCAGTCATTTAAATACTTCACAATGCTGAATGTCAGAGACACATATTCAAATGTTTGGTCACAACAAACTGTCTAAGATAACAAAAAGTAGTTGTGATAACCCTGCAAAAAATCATTCATCTTTTAAAATAATTGTATCCTGGACAGTAGAGCATCTTATCAGACTTTCTGTTGATCTTGGCAACCCTGTTAGACAGGCTTTTCAGTATAAATTATATAAAATGTGCATGAGTTTTGCAGCTATCTTGACAGTGCAGGAGAATTTTGTAGTCTCTGTGAGATGAACAGAAATGTTATGTGTGGCAAACAACAAAAGAGATAATCAGAGATGGAGCCTAAAATTATCAGGGGAAAAAGCTATAACTAGAAGAAAAACACCATTAATTCTGTGTTTTTATTGAATGTTGCTTATTGTTTGAGGTTTATCAAAGCATATCCCAGTAGAATAGGACCAATGTCAAAGTCTGTGAAAGAGAAAAAGAGCAGTCCTCAAGCAGGTCGCTCTAGAGCAGCCTTCTCCAGCCTGGTCCCCAAATGTTTTGGACCACAGGTAGCACAGAGCGGCTGTGGGTGGGTGGGTGGCCTGCCCAGTTGGGAACCTCAACCTGTCCTGGATGGGGTTGCACTCCCCTAAAGGACAAGGTTTGTAGTTTGGGGATGATCCTAGAGCCAGAACTGTCACTGGGGTCGCAAGTGGACTCAGTGAGCGAGGAGCACTTCTATCAGCTTAGAGTCATTTACAAATGACACGTCTATATGGACAGAGCCTGGCTACACGTATCCCCAGTCTTGTAATTTCTCAGTTGGACTATGGCAGTGCACTCTGGCCCATGAAATCAGAGTATGCCAGTCCTGTACCAGCTGCATTTGCTGCCAGTTGAAGTCCGGGCCCAATTCAAAGTGCGTGTTCTAACACTTAGAAGCTGAAATGGCTTGGGGCTGGGTTATCTGAAGGAACACCTTGTCCAATATGTTCCTACCCAATGCTTGAGCTCACCTGTTGAAGTCCTTCTCAGGGAGCTCACCTGGAAGAAGTAAGGGCATGGCAACCAGGAGGAAGGCCTCATTATAATGGCACTCCATCTATGAAACACATTCTCCAGAGTGATATGCCTGGTGCTATTCCTGACATTCTTTCAGTGCCAGGTGGTGGTTGTGGTTGTTATTATTCAATAAGTCTGTGTGTCTTATTTGTTGAGCCGCTTTTAAATATCATTTGTAAACTGCTTCTGCACCTGGTTGTTTGTCAGCTGTTTGTCATGTTGTTGTTTTTAAATAATATTTTATGTGTATGCTGTTCTTACGGAGTGCTTTATGATTTGTTTTTATGATTTTAATATTTGGAAACCACTCAGCGAGCCCGTGGGCTATAGGGAGGTGATGTGCTAAATAAGTAAATAAAATAATTGATGGGGCATGCTGAGTATTCTTGTTGTTGTTTGTTGTTTTTATGTGCCATCAAGTCATCTTAGATTCATGGTGGCCCCATGAATGAAATGCAAGATCCATGCCATCCCTGATTAGCTGCTCTAAATTCAACCCTGTGGTTTCCTTTATGGAGTCAATCCATTCTTATTTGGTCTTCCTTTTCTACCTCTGCCTTTGACTTTTCCCAGCATCATTGTCTTCTCTAGTGAGTCTTGCCTTCTCATGTGTCCAAAGTATGAAAGCCTAGCTTTTCCATTGCTGAGCATTGTAGTCCAACATGTCTAAAGGGTGCCTGGTTGGGAAAGGCTGTTAAGAGATTTCCCATTTCCTTCAATAAAATATTCCAGAGCTGATAGTGTAAAAATTAAGTCCCATTATGTATTGTTAACTCTGTACTGGAAAAAAGTCTTCTGCTCTTTTTTGTCCATTCTCATTCATATGCACAGACAAATGGAGAATAATGTTTCAATGAAACTAGCAAGAGTGGGATGCAAAGTGCTTGTACTTACCTTAGTTATAAGTAGGCGAGGGTGGTGGCAGATGGGAAGCATGGTCATCCAGAAAGGCAGAAAGGCAATGGAGTGATGTGAAATAGAAGTGGGAAATATGGGCTATTGCCTAGATAGAATAATAGAATATTAGAGTTGGAATGGGCCAGAGGGCCATCAGGTCCAACTCCCTGCTGAGTGCAGGACTCAGCTCACCCATCCAGATTTCAGAGGGCTGTCCAGTTTCATCCTGAATGTCTCTAGTGTGGAAGAGCCCACAACCTTCCTAGGCAATGGGTTCCATTGTTATATTGCTCTAACAATAAGGAAGTTTTTTTTCTGAAGGTCACCCAGAACCTGACTTCCTGTAACCTGAGCCTGTTTTCCATTTGGGATGATTGAAAAAAGATCCTGGTTTTCCTCTTTCTGACAACCCTTCAAGTATTTGTAAAGTGCTATTGTATCTCTCCCCAGTCTTCTCTTTTCAAGGCTAAACAGTTCTTCAGTCTCTCCTCAAAGGGTTTTGTTTCCAGTCCCCAGATCATCCTTGTTGCTCTCCTCTGAACCCTTTCCAGCTTGTTTGTGTTTTTCATAAGCTGCAGTGGCCAGAACTGGAAACAATACTCCAGGGGAACTAGTATTTTGTTGACTGGAAGTGATACTTCTTCTAATGCAGCCTAAAATATCATTTGCCCTTTTTGCAGCCACATCACTTTGTTGACTCATATTCAGCTTGTAATCTGCAATAATTCAAGGACCCTTCTCACTTGCAGTATTGTTGAGCCAAGTACTTCCAATTTTGTAATGGTGCATTTTTTTCCTATATACAGAATTTGGCATTTGTCCCTGTTGAATTTCATTCTGTTGTTTTCAGTCCAGTGCTCCAGCCTATCAAGATCACCTTGAATCTTGTTTGTATCTTCCACAGTATTAGCTATCCCATCCAGTTTTGTGTCATCTGAAAAATTGAGAATTGTTCCCTGTACTTTCTTATCCAAGCCATTAGCGTTGAAGAGCACAGGGCCCAGAACTGAACCTTTCAGTGCCCCACTTCTTACTCCTCCCATGTTTGAGAAGGTGCCATTGATGAGCACACTTTGAGTCCTATTCTGAAGTTAATTATAGATCTACCTGATAGTTGCTCCATCTAGCTCACTTTTGGCTAGTTTGTTAATCAGGATATCATGGGGCACTTTGTCAAAAGCTTTGCTGAAGTCAGGATAGATTATGTCCACAGCATTCCCACAGTCCACTGGGGAGGTTAGCCAATCAAAAAAAAAATGAAATCAGATTAGTCTGGCAGGATTTGTTTTTGACAAATCCATGTTGGCTTTTAGTAATCACTGCATTGTTTTAAGGTGTTTGCAGACTTGCTGCTTTATAATGTGCTCTAGACTTTTCCCAGAGATGGTAGTCAGACTTACTGGTCTGAAGTTCCCAGGTCCTTCTTCTTTTTCCATTCGTGAAGAAGGGGACATTAGCCCTTCTCTAGTCATCTGGCACTTCTACTGTCACCCATGATTTCTCAAAGATAATAGATGGTGTTTCAGAGAGTTCTTCCACCAGCCACTTTATTATTCTAGGATGGAGTTCATTGGCCCCTGGAGATTTGAACTTATTTGTGTGTGCAAACATGAACCTGCTATGTATACACATTTGTAGCTAAAGTGATCTTTTATATGCGGAATACTGTATTTTTAATAGTTGAATTGTTGTAAACTGCACAGAGAGTGCTATGGAGCATCATAGAAATGTAATATAATAGAAAGGGGTGTGTGTGGGGGATGATGGACCTTTTGCCATCTTGCAATGATCAAGTAAGCTCACAGAGGCATTAAATTAAAGACTGTACCCTAAGAATGATGCACCAACGTCCCACCAATCATGTTGTACAGATGACCTCTACCTCTTGTGCAGTGGCGATTTAGCCCTCCTAAGGCAATCCAAAACTAGCAGAAGTGCTCATTTCTTGAAGGAGGCAAGTTGACAGAGTTCATGGAAGGGAGCTCTGCTGATCTACCACCTTCCAGAAA